CACACACACACACACACATATATATATACAAACCGTTAAGTGTAGGTGTACTAAAAGACATGTAGAGAGCATTGACTGTGTAAATGAGTCAAAAAGACAGGTAGCGTGGAATTTACTTCCCTCCCAGAGTCTGCTGTTAGCTAAAGGCAGCTCATTAACAGTGTGTGTTGTAAGAGGCTTAAGCTTACACCTCCCACTTGTTTCCTGTGCCAGCCTGACAGGTCCTGGCAACAGGACAGCCGCTCGAAGGGGATGGGGGGAGGGGCGAGAGGTGTTATTAACAGGCACAGAGCCAACACCTCCTGGGATAACCTTGGACATAGGTCTCTGCATCTCATCACTTAATGGTGGCAGTAGGACAACTACAACTCCAAGCCAGAGGAGAGGAAAGGACAGCTGTTTACAGCCCCGCCATTTCAAGGGTCATATTAATCGGAAAGATGAACTGCAATACTGACGTTTTATTGTATAATGGAAGTAATAAGTAATAGGTGCAATAAAATCTGGTCTATTTGTTGTTTATATATATATATATATATATATATATATATATATATATATATATATATATATATTTATTTTCTAGAATATCATTCACAGGACTTTATTTATTTCTCTGCAGATGGATCTTCAGGGGTAAACAAGATATGAAGATATAAACATGTCACCCCAAATGTGATTAAATATCAAAAAACTGTCTATGTGATAACTCTTCAGTTCGTTTTTTATTTCACTCACATAAGTAAAATACGACCCACTGTCATTAATAACTATTCATGTAAAGATACTTTAGATCTATAAAAGTTGTCCATCATCCTGCAAATGTGAGAAGTATAATATTCACATTCACTACGAGAATGTATTAATGCTGTTATAAAAAGAACCACCATAACAAGCAAAGGTAATCTTCAAGTCTGAGTTGCAAGCGTCTAAAAGCTGCTGGACACCTACAACCTGTCAAGTGTTAAAAGTGGAAGAGAGTTTTCAGCTGAAATATTCATCACTTGCACTAAAGGCATAGCTTCTCCAAGAAAGACAAGAGGAACAGTTAGCCTGACTCATTCCAAGAGTGAGTGAGACACGTGATCGACACCTATCAGGCGCAGTTAGACGCCCTCCAACAGGCCAGAGTACACACACACACACACACACATGCACGGACGAACAAAGACACAAACAGGGTTGTCGTGTCACACATATTCAAACCACTTAGTGGAACACTGCACTCAGTGAATGTAGAGCAATAACAGTGCAATTCATTTACAGATGAAGTCAAAGGTCACATTGTTATGACCTCTGGCTATATCCAGTTTATTCCACTGTAAGCACCTACTTAGAGCACAATCCGAAGAAGCAGCTCTGGTTGACTCAGGGCCTTAGTCGCTGGAGCAACACACATGGAACAAACATCCAATCAGTGGCAGCAATATTGAAGCAGGTGGTAGCCTCACACCCAATCAGGTCGCTGCAATCCCATTAGCTCCTCCCAGAGAAAGTCCAATCTGCACCTGGTGCAGCCAGAAAGTGGTTCTTCCTGTCTGTCACATGCCTGTCACTCCAGTCGTCGCCTCATGGCCCTGCAGTGGAAAACCCTATCAGACAGTCTGATCTCTGGAGGGCCAGCCGGGAAACTCTTCGGGGCTGGGCCTTCCGATCCAGAGCAGAGGAGATGAAAACAGCTCAGTCTCTGCGCTCTTCCTGCCAGCTGGCTTGATACTTGAGCCGGTGTCGGGTTGACGTGTTCCAAAACAGCACATGCTCCTGGCCTCTCCCCTCCTTTTTCCTCTCACTTTGTCCTGCCTGCGCTTCGGTGAATATTGGTGTGTTCTTCTCTGCCGTGTCTCTCCCCAATGGCGGTCGTCTGGGAAGACTTCCACAGGAAAGTGGGACTGTGGGGCGGTGCTATGTACTCAGCCTTTCTCTCCCCTCATCTGATCTCTCCTCTATCTCTCTTTTTTTCCCCTCCCTCCCTCTCTTATTCGGTCTGTCCCTCCCCCAACCTCCCTTTGCCAGCAGGCACAGCGGCACGCACGCACACACACACACACAMACGCATGAGTGAGTACATACTCACTTGAACTCTCTCTCTCTCTCTCTCTCTCTCTCTCTCTCTCTCTCTCTCTGTCTCTCTCTGTCTCTCTTGTTAATACTAAAGCACACAGGCACAAACACACACTCAGGCAGTCCAAGAGTAAACAGAGAGCAGAAAAAGAGAGAGAGAGAGGAAAGAGAGAGAGAGGGCAGAGCAGAGCCACTGAGCTAAAGAGACAATAGAGAAAGAGAGAGGATACAGAAGTGGAGACTAAGAAAAGAGAGAAGAGAGGGGGAAGAGAGGAGGGGAGGAGAGGGAGTTGATGTTGATACCATGAGAAAGCATAAAGGCTTTCACATTTTTCCTGACTGACCTGCTTTTCATCTTGAATGTGACCTCTCACCAGTCTATAACAGCACAGAGTGATGGGAGAGAGAAAGTGCGAGAGGGAAAAGAGACGCTTGCCAAATCTTCCACAGCTCTTGCCAATCTGGGCTGCCGCCATCTCCCATCCAAGAGAGACGAAGACAGAGCGGAAGGCGGAGATAGAGCAACAGTGGAGGAAAAAGAGAGGAAAAGATAATATGGTATACTCTCCTTGCTGCTCCTTTAAATGGGCTCTTCCAGCAAGCAGAGCAGGGGCTGTTATCCAGCTGCCTGGCTGCCTGCAAAGCCTGCCAGATTAGTGCACTTACATAAACGTCAGCCAAGAATGGTGCACATGCAAACACACACAGCTCGGCCCAAGAGCACACAGACACAACCTTTGCTACACACACGGGCAGACAGAGCTGGTTAGTTTATGAGAGAGACTTTACAAAGATTGGCTGTCCCTTATTTGAGGTACCACTCTTTATGAGCAGAGAAGACAAGAGTGATCTATGCCACCCTCGAAGGTAGTGCAGACTGGTGCTGCCTTGCTGGAGTGCCACTGTCCAGCCAGACACCATTAATGCCATTATTCAGATCTGTTTACTTCAAGGGGATAAACACACTAGCATCAAGACACCTAAGCCTCTTTAAAGCATATAGATATGAAGCACCTGTAAGTGAGAGAACACTGACAAACTGATCCAGTTCTATAAGGAAAAGCATGGCTGTGGTTAGGATCTTGCAGGAGTTCAGTTCTTGGAAGGGGAATCCCTTTGAGCAGGTGTGGGGGTACTTGTTAGCGCAGATGAGAAAGAGCACCTCCTCCTCTTCGGTCTTTGGTGCTGTAGCTGGGTTGTGTGGTTGTGGTTACATAAGCGCTTCATGGAAGCCCTGCTCCCACCAAGCTGTCAAGCTAATCCTCTGGGATGGAGCCCCCCCACTAATCCCACTGCAGGAGAATGGAACTATAGACATTAACCAGGATTACTACACAAGACCATGTTCCAGCCAGGCCAGCACCAGTTATCACAAAATAACCTATTAACAGACAAACACACCTGCATACACAAACTCCAAATTGCAGGAGACACCACACACACAGCGAAATACAACACAAGATAGATGTGACAACTCCTTTAAACCAAAATGGTTTCAATATTGTATTTAAACTGCTGATAGTTGATTGCAAGAGGCAGTTAATCTGCTGTTGATTACAGGGAAGGAAAGGTTGAAGTAGTCAGAAGCAGAAGTGAGAGTCACACAAAACATGATGACATATCATGTAGAAATGGCCACAAAGAAGCCGCATTGAATCGAAATTGTTGTCGAGTCATGTGCAGAGCAAGACTTGACATTAGACGAACAGCACTAAGTCACCTAAAACCTAGATTTAAAAAAAGATGCATTAAATACATGAATCGGGCTGAGTTTTGTTAATGTGAGGAGTCAAAAGTAAAGTTCTTTAAATTATTAACTGTCTGCAGCAGCCATCATTTTCTTGAAACATGCACCACTTTCAACATCTGTCTTTTTTCTTTTTTTTTTTAAAGTACCCCAACAGATGAGAAGCAGACTGTCTGTCTGGTGTTACAATCAGTGGGGAATCCCTATCAACAGAGTAGTACAAATTAGAAACCACAGAGGGTGAAGGAGCTCATTCAGTTTGCCACTGAGACTCACGCACTGCACGCAACAGACACTGTCGGACGCATTCACGCGGAGATCTGGTACAAGGAAAATGGGCAGAATGTCAGCAATCTCTGAGAATAGGCTTCTGGGTAATCTTCAGTCAGAGACAATAAACAAGCTAGGCTAATGACTGCTGCATTTGCTTGCTGATAAGAGGCAGACTTTACAGCCTCTCTGATAAAAAACGACAGGCTGCCTTGACCCAGAGAGACAGGGAAATGGCTCCAAAGAGCAAAAGACCCAGTCCAGGCAGACTGACGCACGCACCATGCACACACACGCATACACGCACACACATGCATAGACACAACCGAGCAGCACGTGGCAGTCGCTGCCTCACAAACAGGAAGTCACAGCCGCATCACTTGTCTATGTTCTCAAAAAAACAGCCCTTGATCTGCTGCTGATGATCTTTCTTTGATGGATTATTATGCAAGTAACTGCGATGAAGTTACATTTCACTGGCAGAAGAATTTTTTACATTTTATTACCTTTTTTGGCAGTTTCCATCTCTTCTTCAGTCCAGCGAGAGCTCTCATTCATCTCCAGATTGGCTGTAAAAAAAAAAAAATAGAGAACCACCAAGTTAGAGAAGGCGGGCAGAGGTGGGGGTGGGTGGGCAGTTGTCACAAAGTCAGTTAGGGAGTGACTGACAAGAGGAAGGGAAATAGAGAGAGAAATAAGAGAAGAAGAAAAAGAATAAGTAAGTGGGGGCAGGGTGGCTTTTGCTGCTCACCAAGGAGACACTGCAGCATGGGTCGCTAGGGACTGTTTGTTTTAGGTGGAGGAAGCAGGAAATCCAAGGAGAGAAGTCAGTTAATGATTATAGACATAACAACTGGCTTCTTTCCCTGCATAAACCACGAGCCAGGCCGACCCTGACCATGCGCAGCAGACAGTGGAGCAGGGGCCTCTGCTCATGCGTCCAAACAGTGGTGGGGGGGGGGGGGGGGGGGCTCTCATCAACTTCTGCTGATGAGAGCCTCTACAGCCAGAGTCACCTGGGGATTCCCAGTAACTAAAACCTGTGCTGCAAGAGCGACTACAGCATATAACAACTACACAACTGCTGTATAATCAAAAATCGTTTATAGCCTGCAGCAAGAGTGTTGGTGTGTACATGGCTGACCTGCCACCAGCGAGGAAACAAAGAGCTAGGTGAGAGGGCACTGCTTACACAGAGAGGATTTTAACTCATGCAATCACACTTTTTCACTGTCTCGATTTCTTAGAATGTTTATGAGAGTCAGTTTAATATAAAATGAACGTGAATAAGTAAAAGAAGACAAAAGGAACAATAGTGCACTCTTGTGGTGTGGGACAGGAGTCCACAGCTGAATCAAAGTTGATCTTGCAAGGTGAAAGTGAAATAATTCACCTGTAAATCCTTTCATTTTATTGCTCCTGACAGTTGCACATTACATTAATGGTTTTAACTATGTGCCTCGTCTTTTATATATTTTTTATAACTTTTGAACCCAGATTGAAGTTTCCTTATGATGAATAAGAAATGAAAGGTTACACATAATTTACCAAAAGTAACGTTTGAAATGTACAGCATGCTAAATGTATTTTTACATTCAATAAGATGAAACAAAGGGAGCAAAATAATTTGGTGCACTACAGACTGACCAAGTTCATTGTTGAGCGGGGGTGTGGTGGTCTCCTCTACTTCACTGGTCATAGAGCGGGTGATGCGGCCCTTGCGGCGCCCCTGACTGTTGGCTGTGCGTCGACCCTTGAAAGCCACAGTTGGCTCTTTGTCCTCCGCATCCTCTCCAGAGGTGTCATCCCTGCATTTGAGAAATGTCAACAGAGTCAGCTACAGACACACACAGGTTGTTTGAAGGGTGTATGATGTAAATGATGCATCACTGATGTAGAAGCCAAAAGCCTAATGCACAGGTTTTGGAAAGCATTGACATGAAAAACAGTTTTGACTGACACACATTATCGTATTAATCCAACTGAGCATGTTTCACAGCTAAAGATCAGAATGATGCAAAATCCTGAGACAGAAGTTGCAATGTATATTATGTGGTATCAAAATTATAAATACATATCATATTGTATTTAGTAATTGTAAAAAAAGGGAGTAGGGAGATGATAATAATAATACAAATACAATCTTTGCTGAGATTAACGTCCCAAAGGACGAGCTGAGTCAATTCAAACTTGCGTCACCATCGTGTCTCTGATGTCGTTTGCCTCTACACTGCCTTAGCTTTAGTGAGTCAAACCTGCCCAAGTGTATGCACACTGTTCCTCTTTTTTCCCCTAGATAATTTATCAAGTGTCAACACAAAGCCATGCCAGGAGAGAGCCATTGAGTTTGAACCCACTGCTCCTCCATTCACCCTCCCCAGGCTACATTAATCTTGCTGAGAGGAGCTGGTGGCACACTAAAAATAGCTGCGCCAGCTGTGTCAGGGGTAACAGGCAGGTAGCAGGGGGTGCTGGGAGTCATGGAGCTCCCTGGCCTCACCTCAGAGCAGGGATGCAGAAGGTGATGCTTCATCATCATCATCTTCTCCTTTCAGTTTGGCACAGTGGCTTAACTATTTTACTATCTATTATCTGCCATCAGTTAAAATTGCTGCAATGTAAAACCACAGCTGATACCACTGAAAAGTGCATGAACACAGAAATAATTCAGCATTTATCAATTAAAAGGTCCAGTGTGTAAGAATTAGGTGAAAGAGATCTAATGGCAGAAATTGAATATGAAATAATCCTAGTGACTTTTTCCACTATTGTGTTTCAGAGGTGGAAAGTAACGAAGTACAAATACTTCATTACTGTACTTAAGTCGATTTTTCAGGTATCCGTACTTTACTTGAGTATTTATTTTCCTGATGACTTTTTACTTTTACAAGCTACATTTGAACACAAATATCTGTACCTTTTACTGCTTTCATTCTCAAAACTGGATGGTTACTTGTTTTTATGCTTTTACAAAGGGAGCTCCTCTCGCAAACTCGCTCACCCCCTGCCTCGGGAGATGTGCAGGCCCCAGTGGCGCATATGACGACGGGGGGCAGCATGAGACCCTAAGCGTCCAGGGGGTTGGTCGGGCTGCAGTGGTCGAGCTGCTGTACCTGTACTGATCCTTCCTCAGGTTCACCTACAGAAACCTTGTTACGACTTTTACTTCCTCTAGATAGTCAAGTTTGATCGTCTTTTCGGGGCTCCGCCAGGGCCGTGACCGACTCCGGCGGGGCCGATCCGAGGACCTCACTAAACCATCCAATTGGTAGTAGCGACGGGCAGTATGTACAAAGGGCAGGGACTTAATCAAGGCCAGCACACTCTCCATCCATGTATTCCCTGTAAAGAATGATCCAGGTGCTCATGCAGGACCTCGGTTCAAAAAGAGGCAACGTGTATCATTGACGTTAAAAAAAATCACAAAATGCTACTTCACCACTAGATGTCACTACATTCTACACACTGAACCTTTAATTTCCAGGCAACAGAAAGCAGTGAGATTCAGTCTGTGCATCCTTTGTTGGCACTGTACCTGAAAACACCCCCTCCACCTGCTTGCCCACAGCTAAGCTAATCATTCTGCTCATTTTCCCCATCAAAAAACCCCCAGACTAAAAGCATAAGCACAGAATTTAAAAAAGGACACTTGGCATCCTATTTGAAAGGGGAGAAGCACAAACAGGAAAGCAGCTGTTTGAATAGGAGCAACGAATGGACTTTGACTTTGCTGTAGGTGGAAAGTCTTGCTGGAGGTGAGAGAGTGAGAGCTTAAGGGTTGCAGAATGATTGGATTTCCAGATCCGCTCCCCGCAGCCAAAACTTACTCCTACACTATTTGTTGCAGCCTGACCTGAACCTGGAACAACTCTAAAAAACAATGTACGTTAAAGAAATGAAGAGAGTTGGAAGATAGCTGCAGCTGTACAGATTCAGGCTCATACAATGTGGTGGAAAGGATTTCACGCAGCTTCATCTTTTCACACACAGTATTTAGACGTAAATTTTACGTGTTTGATACACAAAATTACTCCAGCGTGGAAATATTTAGTCAGTATTTAAACAGTGACTCACTTCATTCCATCCTCCTTGTCTTCAGCTTCATTTTTTTCTTCATCCCTCTCTCCCTCCTTCTCCTTCTCTTCCTTCTCCTTGTCCTCCTGGCTGCTGCGGTTCACTTGCTGCTGCTGTTGCTGCTGCTGCTGGCCATGCTGCGATGAGAGACAGAGAAAAACAAGGCACTTTATTACAAAGGTAATCCCAGGTAAATGTATACACAAACATCACAACCTCTCCTGTAACCTGTACACATTTGATATACACACAGTTCAAAGTGTGGATGCACAAACATGGAAAACCGCTGTGGATAACACAGAGGTGTATGTGTAAGGGAACTCATCTTATTTAGTGTTCCTTTAACTAGAGTCATAATAAGTCATGAAGTTTGTTTTTGTGTCACTTCAGTAGATGACGCCAATATTTCTCTCTGATTAGAGATTGTCATTTCATCTTGTGTATTTTCTGCACGTTTGTGAGGTGGCTATGATATTATTTGAATACACAATTAATGTACTTCTGGCACAGCACTACAGACAATATGGTGTCTGGCTAGATTTCTGATGAGATAAAATAAATATATGTGTAGCATTAAGCAATTCCTCTTTCTCCCTTTCTCTTCTTTAACATAAAGAATACTTGCTTACCTAAAAACTAAAAAATATGTTCATAATCGACAAAGGCAAAACAGGATATGAAACTTCCAGAATTACAGCAGGGCTATTCTGCTGCACAACCTTTGTGCTTTAAACACCCTGAACCACTTCCTCACCAGCTTCCTGCCTGTCTGGGCTTTATGGGTTAGAGTTCAGATGAGTACAGACACACAGAATTGACCAAAAAACCTTGAAGACTGCTGAGCATTGACAAAGCAGATATGCTTACAGCAAAAACATGCTCAGTTTGGTGTGTTTGCAGTTGCTGCCTTTAAACTAAAGCCTTCAGTCGAGCGCTTACACTTTTCCTGTTCCCTTTTTTTTCAGATGTATAAACAGTCTAATAATATCTATCCGCCCTGAATATGTAGAAGTGTTAGTGCTGCTTCTAAACTTTCCCCAGGATGATCCTGGTCCATACCTACAGAAAATGTAGTTAAAGGAGTCATTTCACGGCCACCCCACTCAGTAAGGCTGAAAACACATTAACATTTGCATTAGTCTATAACTTATCCTCAGCTTCACTATCCAAACATAATCTCTATTATTATTTGCAGTCATTCTGACATATAGCACTGCACTGTCTGTTCTTCCTCTGCCGTTACCTCCCTCTGTGTGTGTGAGTCATTAGTGCTAGTTGCTGCTGCTGCTGCTAGGTAATGAGCGCAGGAAAGATGAGGAGATGCCATCCTCATACTCACAGGAAAAGGTCAGCAGTAAATGAATCTGCCGTTTCATTAGCACCTGCCACTGCAATGTTAAACAGCTAGCACCTGATCTGAGACTAAGTAATAACTGGGAGCTCATTAGCAATAGAAATGACCTGTGTTCAGGAAAAAGTGTCAGTATGGAAATAGTTCTGACATGAAGGGTTGAGTAATCTGTGGCACTTGATCAGCACTACTGAGCCACCTTTGGCATTTTATAGCTTAAACAAGCTTGGTGTTCAAAAAACGTGTTTTGTGAGGTCAAAGTGAGTTGATAGTTAACCACCAATTCTCGATTTGTAAAACATTTATGACAGATGTAATGACAATACCTCCAGGAGTTCCCTATTTATTGTGTTAAAAATAATGGGATGGACATGGGGTCCATGAAAAATCAGTTCATCATTGAGACCAGCTGAATGTATGTGCCAAATTTAAAAAGATTCCCTCGAAGCACCTCTGAGATATGTTAATGAGAATGACTGACGGTCACAAGTGAAGAAGCATTAAATTGTGAATAAAAGTTTTTCTCTTAGGTCCATCTCAATCAAATCAAACCTACATTACATTCACTGTATCACAGATATTTCTGCGATGGCGTATATGTTGTTACATAAGAATATAATACAGAAAGCCATGTTCAAATTAAGTCATGTCAAATCATATAAAAAATAATGATTTAGTTTTTACTCTCTAAATCGGTATTGGCCCCAAAGATCCAGTACATTTTGAGCTCTGAAAGTAAGTGATGGTTGTTCTTGCTTTAACCTGTTTGACAGCAGAGAATTGAGTCAGGCCTTGTGTGTAATGGTCCTAGTTACTGTCATTAGCTAAATTAGTGACTGACAGCAACTGACTTCTTGGTTGACAAGTGAAAGCACGAGAAGAATTCTGGTGCTTGTGGCTGTGCAGCTCTTCTGAAAATCAGAGAGTGGTGCACCTCACATGGGGCTAAACGTAAAGGAGAGCATCCGTTTGAACTGTGAGCTTCTAAGACGAGAATACCTGGCTTCTTCCACGGCGTCGGTAGTTCCTCCGCACTATGTTCTTATAGTTTTCATTCTTTTTGGTCAGGTAGTAAAACAGCACACACTCAGCCACAGTCTGAAACATGAGAGAAATATAATTTTTTTAACAACCATGTCTGATGAAGACGGGATAACGCGAAACAAAAATTAGAAAAAAAAGAGGGAAATCAGTACCTTCCTCTCCAGAAAAGATGCAATCAGAACAAAGTTTTTGGGGTGCTGGATGAACCTGTAGAAGTAGAACAAACACAGTATTGAAAACTGCTTCAGAGAATAACTCAAAATCATTGACATTTGCTGAAGGACAAAAGATGATCACAGAATAAAAAAGAGATAGACTGAGGCGGTGATTATCTAATGGATGTACCAAAACCACTGTATTGATCCTATGAAAAAATTAGGTATGGAATGGAGAGTTAATTATCTGATATTCATCAGTCAGCAGAACGTTTATAACAATTCCCCAAAGACCTCGTTTTCTGAGCCATGGTTTGGTTAATAACTAATTTTTTCTCATTTATCCTTTGGGGGTGGGATAACCTATATATTCTTATGGTGCTGGTACATGGAAGAGTCACATGACGGATGCAGTTGGAAACTAAGATAGAATAAAATGATAATTTTACCTCTGCCAAAGTGATCATTTTGAAATTTGAAATTTTGAAAAATTTGTTTTGTCACATTCATGAAGTGATGAGAGCCTAACAGGCAGCGCCTGCTTTATGTTGGGTTTGCAGTAGCCTATATCTAGACATGAGATTGTGGATGTTCGTATCAGTTTAGGTATCGTTACAAACCTATATACTGGCAATAAATGGAGAATATCTCTTCTACGTAGGCGTGGGTGTCCAGCTAAGATGACTGTAAACACATAACATGGACTATTTTAGGGATCCGTGGTGACTCTGCTTTAAAGTAAATGATCTCGAAACATCTGTTGCTTCTCACGAAAGGGGAAGTTTCACTTCCCTACCAACAACTTACTATCCCTTCATTGGTCACACGAAACTCACAAAACTTACTTCATGTTATTGCTTAAAGGTCCAGTGTGTAAGATTTAGGTGAACAAGAAACCATTGGCAGAAATTTAATTTAGAATAATCCTCAAGATGATTTCACTTGTTTGTTTCATCTAAATTGTATAGTTTCTTTACCCCAGAAAAGGCCCTTTATATTTAAATACTTAATATTTACATTGAGGGGACCCTCTCTACGGAGGCTGCCATGTTTTTTACATTAGTCCAGACTGGACAAACTGAACATCTTTTGAGTTTTTATGAGAACTCAAGGTTACCAAAGGTTCTTTTTCATGTTTGGAAGGAGAGGGTGAGGGGTCTTCAGCTGTAACATGCAATTTCAACACTCGATGTCACACACTGTACCTTTAAAAAGAAGCTCTCTGGGTGCAAAATGCCAAAATACTGCCAGCTATTTCGAGTGTATTCTGTCCAATAAATCAACATATGTAAATGTGAAAAAGTTGAAGCTATAGTCTCCACCATGTGTTTTGCTTACTTCTCTCTGAAAGTGTCCTTTTCCTGCTCGCTCCACATGTTCATAACCTGTCGGTCCTTGTACACCTTCATTGGGTCATCCATCAGTCCATTCATGTTGATGAACTTGATGCGTTGCTGCTCAGCATCAAACAGCATAGGAGGGATGACTGCCAGCTGTCGCATTTGCTTCTCTGTGTTCTGAAGTAGACAAATGCCACACACAGAAGTCACTATCCCAGACTGAGCGGGCTGATTTGGTGAGGGAAACTATCAGACAACATGGCGTTTATACTGACTTGCACCATATGAAACCTGATGGAGTACGCCACATTTTGAAGTGTGAAAGAGCTCAGAAAAAAGGACAGGAATTTAAAGGGCAGCTTGTTGTCTTTTTCTGTAACTCAAAGAAGTTACAATCTTAAAAGTAGGAAAATGTCTGAGCTCAGGAAAGGGGACAGGACTTAAAGAATGTGTGACGAGTGGATATCTCAGCAATGTCCAATCATAGCATGGCCCTTCAATGGTAAGAAGAGCAGTGCCACATTTTGTTGGAGTCTGACACCAAAGGCTTATTTTGTTAGTATAAGTAAAATCAAGCCAAAGAAATGTATATAATTTATCTCAGATGGCTTCAATAATTGCAACTGAAACCTTTCCAACTTTATCTCTGAAAGCTGTAATTTAGAAGCACATGCTAGCATGTACCATTATAATGAAGTTTAAGGACATGGTAAGGACAATAATCTCTGCATCTTGACACTGTGTTGACTGAGATATAAATGGACGAAAAAGAGACAAGGTAATGCTGTGTAAAAAGAGACAGTCAGTACAAACTGTCAGACAATATCAAAGTTTTGGGAACATATCTATTGAAGGCAGCTGTGTTTGCTGCTGGGCGGTGGTGGCCTTTAAGGGCTGGTATTTAGCTTTGGCTAGCCCTGCTAACTTGGTTACCAAAAATATTCCAATGGTGTACCAGTTAAGAATAAGCCCTCAGTGTGACCTGGTATCAGAGAATAGAACCACAGCAGTGTAAGGCTGACCCAGAAGGACTGTTGTGGTGTGTGACAATATGGACTGGCATATGCCAAGAAAACAAGACTGTGGTATAGTGATTACAGAAAGCTTGGATCATATGTTTACCATCAATTGTTGTTTTTTTAGGGATATTTAATATCTGATTTGAGGGTCTGTGGAAAAAGCGGGATGTTGTGTAGTTGAAGCCCCTTTAGAGGAAATGTGTGACATGTGACAGTTGGCAACATCAATAAAACTTGAGCCAACCTGACTTTTGACTTGCAATTTTTTCAGACTATGGTTTTAATGATATTATGATATGGTTTTTGTTGTTCATTATCACTACTCTTTAAAGAAAATGAAACTCAATAATAATATTTTTTATCAAAATATAATGTCTTGTATATGGAAGTCATTAATGGCTTATTTTACACAGGCCTGAAGTTCTTAATTTATCTCATTTACCCCTGTTCTTGAAAATGACTCTAAAAGGAAATTGTCAAAATAATCAACATGATCATGATAAGTTGCAAAGGAGCAGGTGGCGAGGAAACCATTTTAACATAACTAAACAGTAACACCAGAGCTTACCTCATGCTCTGATATTCCATCAATGATTTCAGAGACCTCATGTTCACTGCGAGCTGCAGATGAGCTCAGCCCACCTCCTCGCTGCCCAACACGGCTACAAAAGGGGAAATAGAGACTTATTACTGTAACTGAGTTACTTACAAAACATAGTGAAATAAACCCACATTCATTCTTTACAGTAATCATAGTGACAAGGCTAGAAAACAAATGAACTGCCTTTCTGAACAGTCACAGACTGCCTATTGTGAGACAGGAAAAAAATCCTGTGATCTCACCTGTGCATGCGTTCCTGCAGCTCTCTTTGCTTGCGGATCTCTGGGAACTGTTTCTCGTAGTACTCCCGCACCTTGCTCTCCTTGGCTCTGCGCCGTGGATTGTTTTCAATACGCTCTACCTTTTTCTCCCAGGCTTCCATCAGCTGATCATAGCGCTGGCAAAATTTCTGTTCCTGAAGCGAAACAGCAAAGAGCTTAATCCACTGCAGATCCAATAAATTATCTGTAATATTGCTTACATTTACAACTGAATGGACGACAAAGATTGAAGGAAGAATAATTGCAGCAATTTTAAAAGTGCAGTGTGAAGGATTTACTGGTATAAAAGGTGGTGAGGTGAGGCTGCAAATGGCCAGGGTTTGGTATAATAGAAATTAACATACTGTCATGTATGCCTATTTTATGTATTTACTTATATAATCATGAGAAACACCAGAAATTGGCTCAACCTCTTCAATCATGCCACTGCCAGCAGTTGCTATTCCAGTCATTGTTTCAGATCGGAACAACTGCAAATTAGATTTTTTGTCACATATTGTTGATTTTTAATTTTAACCACCACAATCATGATGCCCCCGGAAAATCATGCCTTTACCCTATATTTCCAGACAGGTCTTTTGTTAATGTCTAATTTCAAAAGAGTAATTTCACTGTCATCACATTTGGTTTGTCGGTACTGGGCCACTGTGGAAAAATGGTGGTACAACGTGATTGTCTTCATGGAAGAGGACAGGCCCCTAATGAAGATATAAAGAGCTAATTCTATGCGAACAAAAACATGATTCATAGCTACAGGTTATTATACACAAATTAACTATATTCCTGTTCTACAGCTGAATCCTAAATCTCTCCTAAATCCTACACACTGCACCTTCAACAGGTACTGCTCAAATAAGACATCTGCCAAAACACAGTCCATCAGTTCAATAATCACAGTCAGTAAACTTCCTTAGTCTCAGTCTCTCCTATGTCTCTGAACATGTACCATTACATGTCCAGAGGGGGCAAGGTGATATTTTGGTATTCTATGGGGAGTCTGGCCTTGAGCCACTGCTCTGACAGACGACGGCCCACTGTTTTCCCAGCTTCCTCACAAGCAGGCTGTAAAGCAGACCATTAACCCTGGTGCAGACATGACCCTCAGTGGGCTCATAAACAACAAGGTGATGTCTTCCCTCGCTCAGCCCAGGAGGAGCTACCTCCCCCACTTAGACACAATATGAGAGAAAACTGGACACTCATCCATGACTCATATGCTTTTTGATAAAGGTGCTGCATTTGAAAACTCCTCTTCCTGACTTCACATAAACTTTCAATACATAATGAATGCAGAGCTGTAGGACAATTGTCACTGGCAACACATCTAAGCTTGGAAACCCTTTTTGATAAAGCTATATTTTTCCATATTCACGACTTGTGGAATCTACTGGAAAAACTGTGGACTTGGTTTGCAATAATGATTTTCTGTCAGGCCTGTTGATTTTAAGATGTTCGTCTGGCTCCAGCATCAGAGCTCGCCCCATTGATCTCTGCTTTATTTATAGTCATGCTCTTTGGCTCAGTCTCGCTCAATCACTGGCAGGCAAGAGCGAATACTAACCCTGTACAATGCTCATTATAGTGCTTGGCTGAATTTAGCAGATGTATAAAAAATATCTGTCATTTTTTTTCATGGTGACAATAAGAGATTGGTTTTGTTTTTTCAACAGTTTCTCCTGATAGCAGTAAATTACTGACAACAGATCAGGCCCAGAGCTCTATTCTTCTTTGGACTGCCTAAAGTGGCTACTAACTTCATGAAGCAGCTAGAGTCACACATGTCAAGTTCTCTACTTACCCACTGCTTACGAGCATGATTTCTCCTCTTGAAGTATAAGATGAGCTTCTTTCTCATCGCCTGATTTCTGAGAGGGATGACAAAAGAGAGGCAGAGGGGAAGAGGGATAGAGAGAAAAGGAGATGGTGAGGGCGTTCAAGGAAAACCTAAATTCAAACAATGCTTTGGCTTTCATAATTTTTCACATACATTACATGTTTCACAAACATGCTCCTCTTGCTGGACTTTTTCTGCCTAACATCTTTATCCAATATAGAAACAAACAGATGCACACACACACACACACAATGGCTGTCCTTGTATGCCACCTCTCAATAAACTCAAACTTGCTTCTGGCTGGAAAGGACAGCGAGGGGAGCCAAACTTATAAAACTTGTCTAGGCTGGAAAGAGCCGGCCAGTGCTTCAAATAAAGGTCAGGGCCAGTAATCTCCTTAGGCAGCCACTCAGTTTGTGTCTTTCTTTGCTGCAAGACAGAGTTTTATTCCTGACACTTAATCTGTCAGTTGTAAGGTCACGTTCCCCGCTGATTAATGTAATCGTATTCTACATTAGTCACTTCAGCTGAGCCACGGGGTCCCTCAGGTCACAGGCAAGGACAGAGGAGGAGGAAGTGGGCAATTCATGGTGCGTAAGTTTAGGGAAAATGAGAAGATATCATTCAAACATTTTGGAGTCAGAGTGATAAAACACACTCGATGACCCATGCTTCATTACCCGAACAATATCTGCAATAACAAACCACATAAAATCTTTACAGCCTTAACCCCCAACCCAAATTAACACTTCCACATACCCAAACATGCAAACAAACACATTCTGAGCCAAGTCAGTGCAGTAGGAAAGATAAATACTTCCAAATCCAACAAAATACATTGAATATCTACACATATTGTGGTGTATAATGGGTGAGAACTAACAGATCTAATAGATTACGCCCTTTAAAGACAGATATTGCATTGTCCTCTGGACACCAGATGGTAAAGGGGAAGATTAGCAGCCCTGAAGCCTAACGAAAGGTTTCCTTTGTCCTGCCCTAGGCCTGTGCCATTTCTGAGATATCAAAGTGCACTGTAATTTGGCACAATACCTCCAAGCCATGATGGTTGAAAGATTCATTATCCACACACTTACGACAAATGTTACCCCATGGTAGAACAACACTGAGCTTTTCAGACTACAAAGTTTCATTTTGTCTTCATAGTAGGCTGCATGTATCCTCAGCTGACTGGTAACAGCCCTGAGTGAGCAGGAGATGTACTGGGATGAAATCCTGAGCGCTCGTCCACACAGATATTAGTACTCATCTATCCCAGCAGGGATGAGTGCCAAGGTTATCAAACCGGTTAGCAAAACAAAGAAGTCGATTGTGCTGGCTCAAAGCAACATAGTGGTATTTAATCTCACACACACACACACACACAC